CCATATACACACAGTAAAAAAATTAAAATGTAAGAACATTTTTAAAAATCTGAATAGTCATTAGATCTGATGATAGAACCCAATATATCAGTTGAGACATTCCTTGTTCAGAAAATAAAAATTGAAATTCTTAGCAAACTGAATCCAATTATTTTGGAAGTGGGTGGGTACATGGGAGATAACATCAGTACTTTGAAATAGCTTCTATATACTACCTTTCAATCTATTTCAGTCATGTTTTTTTTAAGCTGAGGATTGGAACAAAAGTATCGTATTTAATCCCTGCCGTATCCTGAAAGTATAGATCCGTATCCTTTATGCATGTGTGCCTGGTGCTGGAGATGGAGTCGGAGCCTTGCACATGTCAAGAAGGCTCTGTAACATTTTGTAGATGAGGAAATTGAGTTCAGAAAGGTCAGATAGCCTCCTTAACGTCTGTACCAGAAGAGGAAGAAAGGGAGGGAGTCTGTTTGGGGGCAGCAGCGCCCTGGACAACAGGTATATCTGAAGGCACCATCTTGGCATAACCTCCAAGACAGTAAAGGTGGAGCATTCCTGTTTCTGTTTGTTTTTTGAGACACAATCTCCCTATGTGGCCAGACTGCCCTGAAACTCTTGATCCTCCTGCCTTAGCCTCCAAAATACTGGTATTACAGGCATGTTCCGCCACCAGTTCCCAACACTCACTTTTATATGCAGATCCAAACAAAAAGCCTTACAGAAAAAAAATGCCTTTCCAAAAAGGATCTGCGAATCAATGGAGAAGATAATTGTGAAGGTTCTGATTGGTTCACTAGTCACAGGATCTCGAGTCAATCCCTTCACTGGGGAATGATGAAGTTTTACATTCTGGCCACACACTAGCATTCAGGCACACATAGATACACTCTTGCACTGTGATACACCCACATGCCATATAGATACACTCACATGCATACATAGGTACACACTGGTCTTACACTCAGATACATGCAGACACTTGTTAAAATAGCCTAATGGATTCATTTTATTCTATTGCTGTTTAGAAGCTATTAAGTTGATTTAACCTGTAGGGATACTATATTCTATAAAAACACTGTATTTCCTCATTTATAAAAGAAAAGGTTACTCACCACACTGCCAGTAATTAAAAGGTAATGTGATCCTCCTAAGTGAGCTCTGAGGTCAGCCCTCTTGATTCCTAATTGTTTGAAAAGTTCCGTGCCAGACTCTTTGCAAACAAATCCTTTAATGGATCTATTCAAGTCTTTCAGTTCCTACAGTAAAGGAGTCTATTTGTTCCTAATATATTTGATCACAGAGCCCTATCACTGATACACCTATTTAGATAAGCATTTAAGGAAATGTAAGAGAAAAATTAAATGAACCCATTTTTAAAACTATAAAACTATGAGCACTGTTGTTATTGTTGGCATTGTAGTACCATCTCAAAGCAGATGTTCCAGACTGAAGGCAAATGGCCCTTGGATCACTTTGCGTTGGTGAGGGAGAGGATTCTCCTATTCCGTCCACCTCTCCAGGGATCCCAGAATTCTAAGATTCCTCCAGGGTCTGGACAGTGGAGACGTTTCAAGCTCTTGTTGGCAGCTAAAAGGTTTGAAAGTTATTCAGCTTAAAAGAAACATATGTCACTGAGCAAAATATCATGGTTTTGAAAGAAACAGCATTTGTGTCACTTCTGCTGGCAAATATTCTTTGGTGGTGAGAATACAAACTGTGAAATTCCATAAAAATCTACACCACCAAAATAACCGCCAAACAAGGCCTTGCACAGCCGAAGTATAATTGTTTCACACTGAATTCGTTCAACAGGTAATTGAACCAAAGAGCACTTTTTATATGCGAAATCTACTCAAGACACTGAAGAACACTGTGTCCTAATTTGCAGAACATCTTCCTCCCACTTCAAGGCTCATGTGATGACCATGTCCTTCAGTAAATTTGCTGTTTACATCCCTATTGATCAGGGTCTCATTTTCTGTGTTCATAAACCAAGGTTCTTGTCACCAAAGTGAAGGCATTGCTTGAATGGTATGTTTGTGGTCTCCTCTCCCACCAGACTGTGAGTTTCCTTTAGGGTGAGGAAAGTCCATCTTTGAGTTTCCTGCAGTTGATAGCACATAATAGATGATCAATAGATGTTTGAATAAAAGCTCTAAGAAGCTGCAGGGTCTAACGAGCTAGCTACATTTGTGTGCTAGATGGAGTGAAAGACAGTTTAAATAATCTCTTCTTGTTTTCTTTTTGAAACAAGGTCTCACTATATCACCCAGGCTGGCCTCAAACTCACTATTTAGACAAGGCTGGCCTGGAAACTCCTGCCTCATTCTCTGTTTGGGATTATAGACATGTACCATGATGCCTAGCTGACATCTTAGATATTCTGATATTCAAAATATTTACATGTTAGCCATGTAGAAGGTATAAATAAGAAAACACAACTGCATTTTTGGGTTAACATACTTAGGTGCTATGTTTACCTTTCTCACCACTGTGGCAGAATGTCTGACAGAAACAATTTAAGACTTATTCTGGCTCAAAGTTTCAAGGCATTGATCCACCATGGTGAGGAAGGCAGTGTGGACGGAGACGCTCCATCTGACCATAGGAACTTTCAGCATGATTTATTCACATCTTGATGGATCAGGAAGCAGAGAGATCAAGCTAAAATCAAAGGTAGATAGCATCTTCAAGTTATACTCCAAGCAACCCTCTTCTGTTAAGTAGTCCACTGCCCCAAAGGTTTCACAACTTCCTAAAACACCACTACCAAACACAGAAGCCTATAGAGGGCATTCAACTATTATATTAGAACCATTAGCAAAGTATTTTCAAACTCAGATCAGTGAGCTTAATAATTCTTTCAAGGCTTTACAGAGTAAATCATAACAGCTGCATTGGTTGGCAGCAAAATACAGTCTATAAATGAATTTAAAATCAGCCAAATATGAATTCCAATCCCATCCCAGTTTACCTGTGGCATAGTGAGAAAATTATTAACCTACGAACTTTGGTTTTCTTGTCTGTAAAAAGGCATAAAAAATCATTCCCACTTCATAGGATTACCATGAATATTGAATGGGAGAATACAACCTTAGGACAGTACATACTGAGAAATCAATAATTAGTAACTATTATTTGAATGTTACAATCAGACTTTGAAGTATTCACTATAATTAACAAATCTGAAAAAGGACAGGGAACCTAGGCATAGTGGGACATAGCTATAATCCTAGTACCTGGGAGGCAGGCAGGAAGATCAGAAGTTTAAGGCCAGCCTCAGTTACATAACCTAGATCAAGAGCAGCTTGGGCTACATGAAGCCCTGTCTTAAAAGAAACAAAGAAACGAAGGAAGGAGGGAAAGGAGGGAGGGAGGGAAGGAGGGAGGAAGAGGAGAAGAGGAAGAGAAAGGAAAGAAAAGGAAAAATAGAGGGAAGGAGGGGGAGAGTAAAAGCAATTAAGGGAGAGATTCCAAAGAGTGGACTGGGCTCAACATTTTGAAAAAGCAAGGACATTTGGGGAGACAAATGTGACTTTATAGGCCTTTATATACACAATAGAGTACATGAAATTGGGCGGGGAATAATAAGTGGATGCAGATGGGAGATCTAAACATGATCAAAATGGATTATATAAAATTTACAAAAATTCAATTAAAAAGAAAGAAAAACCATGGATGTTCAAAAACATGTGGCTTGTTCAGGAGGAGGTGACAGCAAATGAATCTAGAACTCAGTCCAATCCTCTGGCAACATTTAAAGAATGCATGGTACAGACTGAAGAAATAATTTTGGGGGTCTAAGAGTAACAGTCTCCTAGCAGCACAGCTATCATATAACCCACCATTTAGCCCACTGAACTTCAATTCCTTCATCTCTAACGAAAGAACACTGAAATCAGGCTGTGATGACTGTCCATTCCAGCCCCAGATCCATGTCAGCTCTTACTAACAATCTCTCTTTTCCAACAAGTAGAGATGAAGCCTTAGTCTTCTCAAATTTTCCAAACAGTTGTTTCATTAAAACTGGTGAAAGTCAAATGTTCTGTATTAGTCAGTGTTCTCTAAAAGAAGACAATCGACAGAATGTGTTTATGTTGTAAGAGGGCTTTACTGGAATGGAATGGCTGTAGGAGCTATAGGAACTGGGTGCTCAACAATGGCTGTCTACATGCATGCTGAAGAGGCTGACAATCCTGTTGTTGCTCAGTCCATGAAGCTGAATGCTGCCACATTCCCTTCTGGTGCTGGAGATCTAGAAGGTTCCTGGAGAGTCACTGGCCTTCAATCCACACTGGAAGAACATGAAGCTGGATTCTGATATGAGCAAAGGATGACAGCAGCAGCAGCAGGATGGGTGTGTTTTACCAGCAAGAAGTGAGAGCTCCATTAATCCCACTGTCAGGAGGCAGAGGCAAGTAAATCTCTGTGAGATCAAGGATAGCCTGGTCTACATTGCAAGTTCTAGGCCAGCTGGGGCTACAGGGAGACCCTGTCTCAAAAACCAAAAACCAAAAACCAAAATCAAGCAAAAAGTAAAGGCTGGCAGCAAATGACACTGAGTTTCCCTCAGACCTCTGAATCCGGGCTGCCTCTAACAGGTGCAGCCTTCTCCTCAAAGTTAATCCTTCCTGGAACTTCTCTCACAGACTGGCCTGCAGAAATGTCTTTTAGTTTGTTCCAGATCCAATAAAGTTGACAGTCAAAATTAACCAGATCTCTGGTGTAGATGCTTGTTTTAAATTAATTTATTTATTTACTTATTTCTCATGCTTGCTCCATGGAATACTACTAAATTCCTTAGGTAACTGGAAGTTTTATGGTGTGCTAGAATCTGTATTTATACCAACCTTCTCATTGCTTTAGAATCAACACTCAAGTCTGATAATAGGTAGACCTTATGTTAAGGTCTTAGAAGATAATACATATGCCTTCACTGAAATGTTGCCACAGATGCATGCCCCAAGTTTAACTTGATTTGGGGGTTCTTTTCATTTCAGATCTGAAAATTCATCTCCAGACCACTGATTATGGCAACTTCCTGGCTAATGAAACAAGCCCTCTCACTGTTTCCAAAATTGACACGGAGATGAGGAAAAAGCTCTGCAGGGAATTTGACTATTTCCGGAATCATTCTCTAGAGCCCCTCAGCACATTTTTCACCTACATGACGTAAGTAAAGCTTTATTAAGCCTTGATGTGATTGGATGGATGACCTTTAAGAGTTACAGGTGGAGTATTGGGCCTGAGTATCTGCTTAAGACCTTTTTCATTGTAATTTTGAATACCTCTAGATTTTAGCAACTGATAAGCTCACAGCCTATTTTCCTATTAGAAAAAAAGATGTCATGAGTATAACGCTAATAGTGGAAGTGGTGATAAGCTCCATGTAAAACAGTGCTTCATTTTTCATTGTAATGAGTATGAAGCAGAACTGATATGTGAGCAATGAGGTAGATCTTACATGAGCGTTTTGGTATCATTTGTGGGTATGAGGCATCACAATTATTTTTAAGGTTACATCTACCTTTCCTGACCCCGCCTCACAGTATAAATGCCTCTGCCATAGCTACACGTGTTTTATTTTTATCCATCATCAGTGATTTCAACCTTTCACTGTGTGGGCTCCTCATTCTAAGAAAGGTTCCAACTCCCACATAATAATAGATTGTGCTTACATCATATCCAGTGTTCAAAAGAGCCATTAGAAATATCGAACTCTACTCAGGACTAAAAATAAGAAATTAAGGAAATGTACAAAATTGAGTGGGCATTGAAGTGTGTGAAAGGCAACTCTGGGAGATAACCTGCAATGCTTAGAGAAAGGCTGAATGGGCAGAGAACAGAGGAGCCTTCTGAAACAGCAGTTTCAGCCTCGGGTTCTTCAACTGTTTGGTAATATGGAAATGATGGAGCTCCTTCAGGGCCCCCGTCCTTCTTCCATCCTTCCATGTCTCCATCATCTGCTCCATTCTGCAAATACCAGTGGTTCTGACCTTGAGTCTAGTGACTATGAGAATGGAACTGAGCTGAAAAGATGGCCCCTGTAGTTAAGAGCACTGACTCTTCCTACAGAGGACCTGAGTTTGAATCCCACCACCCCCATGGTGGCTATAATTGTCCATAACTCAAGTTTCAGGGGAATCTGACACCCTCTTCTGACCTCCACAAGCATTGCATGACATGGGTGCACCTACATACATGCAGGCAATACACTAATACACATAAAATAAAAATAATAAATTTTTTTTAAAAAGAATATCAAATGTGTCTGCAAAGGTGAACAAAGTTAGACAGAGGATAACTGCTGCACCTAACTGTAGTTTGAAGGGAAAATAATATGTCATTCTAACGAATGATTTCTCACACTATAGCAAAGCATTTCTTGGAGTCTAAAGAATGGTAACTGGAAAATACTCCATAGAAACAGAACTACATTCCAGGCTTTAATACAAGAAAAATCAGTGTGAACTTTCTGTTGTTGATGCTGGGCAAGACCAGAAATAAAGGAAGGCTCAGCTGTTTGGGATTTCCTACAGTATCAACTTTACTTCATGAATAGTATCTTTAAGAAAAAATAGGGCTGAGATTGTTGCTCAATCATAGAGCACCAGGCTGACATTGGTGAGGCCCTGGGTTCTATCACTCACATGCATAAAAGAGGAAGGAGGAAGAAGAAAAGAAGGAAGAAGAGGAAGACAGGAGAAACAGGAGGAGGGGGAGAAGGAAAAGAAAGGGATAGGAGGAAAAACCAAAGGAGAGGATTCTAACTTCCCAAAAGTTCAGAAGTATACAAGTTGCTCCATTCTGCCTGTCCCCTTCTTCCCCACTCAGTTCCTCTCCCCCAAAGTAACCACTTCTCAGTTTAATGTGATTTTTTTTCAGAAAAATACCTATATTTATGTGTGTCTATTAGTATATGTCCTACTCATCAGTCCACACTTCATATGTATACAGATAGTATCTTTCCTTCTAGGGTTTTCTGTCTTTCAATAGTTCTTACTAATATCCCTGTGAGCATCATTCTACTTCAACCATAGAATTCTGTGAGTTGTTTGTGTCATGATTCCATTTACCAGTCATCACTCAATGAGTTGCAAAAATAGATTGCAATTAGCTAATTCCTAGGAAGGCCTTTCCTTTTAGTGCAAGTGATCAAGTCCCAAGGTCTTGTATTTGCTAGGTAAGGTAAGTGCTCTGTGAGTCACATTCCCCGCTAACTGTGCAGTTCTTGAATTTATTTTGAAGCTTAATTTATTGCAGTGGAAGTGATGAGCAAAAGGAATGTGCTTTTCTTCCCGTTGTTGTGTTTTGTTTTGAGACAGGTTCTCTATTTGTAGGTCAGGAAGCACCAGACTCACTGCTGTAACCCAGGCTGGCCTCAAACTCATGACCTTCTTGCTTCAGGCTAGGAATGTGCATTTCTTAATTTTGATAAATATTGCTGAGTTGTTCACAACAAAAATAACACCAATTTATACCCCCCAAATAGCCCATAAGAAGGCTATATCCTTGTACAAGTTGCCATCATTTTGTATTTTTTTTTAATTTTTGCCAGTCAAATAGATAAAAAGATAGTCTCTTCCTCTTTCAATGTGCAGTTATGAGTAAAACTGATTATTCCATATTTATTAGTTATGTATTTCCCACTTGACTAAATACTTTACCTATTTTTATTAGCATTTGTGGCACTTTTTATTTTTACTTATTTTTAATTTTTATTTATTATTTTTAGTTTATGTGTATGTGTGTATTGCCTGTATGTAGGTAAGTGCACCCATGTCATGCAATGCCTGTGGAGGTCAGAAGAGGCTGTCGGATCGCCTGGGACTGGCGGTTCAGACAATTGTTAGTTGCCATGTGGGTGCTGGGATTCAAACCCGGGCCTTCTGCAAGAACAACCAGTGCTCTTAACTGCTGAGTCATCTCTCCAGCCCTATGGCACTTTTTAATTGATATGCAAGGTCCTTTGTAAATTAAGGAAGTTATCCCTTTGAAATATATATTGCAAAGCTAGCTTCTTGGTTTGATTGGCTTTAATTTTTTATAGTTT